GCCCATTGTGTAGTTTTGTGCTTAACTGCAAACAAACAAACTCTTCAAGGATCCATATATCTCCTAATTTTAGTGAAATTTTGTCTCAATCTGTCTCACGAAGTAACCTTCAATAGCCAGTACTTTGATTGCTACACGTTTCATGCGTCGTTTCTCTCGTCGATGCCACTAACGCTGGGATTTTTTTTAAATTTATTTCTAATCAACAGAAGATTGTCATTCGAGTCTTTAAGCTTAAATTCAAAGGAAAGTATTTCCAGAAAAACGCGTACATCGCTAAATGTCTGTTGATAAAAAAAGAACAGTAAATAAATCACCCATACGTTTTATAACACATAGGTGAGATATTGTTGAGTGCAGAAGGAACACTGCTATTTGGCTAAATACAATGTTCTGCTTGGAAGATTGTTATTGCATGCGAAGAAAAGGCCAAACAAAGAAATATGTATATGTAGAGAAACTCAGATCTTCATAGTGCATTAAAATGTATCAAGCTTTATTCATAAAAATCAACATAAGCTCCCCCAAATAAGTTCCCGTTTCTTAATGGGTTTATTCTGTCAGCAATGGGAAGACTGTAAGACGAAATTACTGAAACTTATGGTTACAAAAAAAATCAACATAAGCTTCCCCAAATAAGTTCCCGTTTCTTAATGGGTTTATTCTGTCAGCAATGGGAAGACGAAATTACTGAAACTTATGGTTACCAAAAAAATGAACATAAGCTTTCCTAAACTTTTTTTTTCTTGATGGAGAGATTCTGTCAGTAATGCGAAGATTCTAGCCAGAAGTCACGAAAGCTTGTAGTTACATAAAAATTATATACTTTTCATGTACAGTCTAAATAAGTGTTTACTATTAATGGAAAATTAATATACTGTATTTAAGTTTTTATATTTAATTATGAATGTTTCGTTTTATACTTGTTCCATATACTATATATAAAGATTTTTGACAAAGCTACCTTTAGTGCGGAACATTTCTCTTGGAAATTTGAATAAAGATATTAAAAGCTTATGCTCTATTATTGGTTTTATAATTTTAGTGTAATTCTGAAGATGGACTATATTATAAACTAAAGAAAGAGCAGAAAGCCAACAACAAACACCGTCAATTCCTGGACTACCCACGTCTGACCGAGTAGATTTGATTGTTACTTTTATAGCGCACCAACTGGGCATGGAAACCACTAGGCTACACCCTGGTCTTTTTTCAATATTCTAGTATTTTAATGTTGCGGAGTAATTTTAAAATAAACTAAAGAGATTGGAGAGAAACATAGAATCAAACCAAACTATTCATTGGTAACACTTTGACATCTTACATATGTTTAATGTGATTCTCCTTTCGTGCATATTAATCTATGTTTAAAATGTAAAAAAAAAGGTGCTCAGAATATATTATCTTTCTTTGTGAAATATCTGGGTTCCTATGACTATACCATAATTTAAAAGTATAAATATATAAATAGTACCTTTCAGAATCTCAACCGACGAAGTGTAAAACAGTTGTACATTTTGTTTTTGCTAAATTCACATATATACACACACACAAACATATTTATACATGTAATTTAATACGGGTTTTGTTTTCCATTGACTCACCACCAAAGTAATATAAAATTTCATTCAGTGTTCGCAACATCATAGTCCAATGCTCCCTATGGACGTACGCTACGAGCAAACGTTGAGCGTGAAACGGTGCCCAGCAAAGAAAGAAAGCGATGACAACAGCCACTAGAAAGAAATAAGAATTGAAACTGAGTTAATACTTCTTCAAAGATTACCACAGTTAAAGTTGAGAGTATTCATAGACAAGCAAAAACTCTTTCACGACATTTAAAGAAGACGTGCTATCTATTTATCTGTCTTGGAAGACGTAATATATTAGAATAACCAACCTATGAAACTATCACTTTTACCAGCTTGCTCTGAACGGTCGATAATGTTCAATAAAACTAAGTGAAAATATAAAAATATTTATATATTCTTGATTTAGTTACGTCCTACCTAAAGAATACACTTAGTTTTATGACTTTAGTGTATATCATTGGAAAATTCAACAAATGTAGTTTTGTTTAAGTTTTTAACTGTATGTACTTGAACTATGTTATAGCAAATAGATTTGATTTAGCTAAAATACAATTAGTTTCTATCATTCGAGAAATCTACAGCTGGGAACGTTACTAGCCACCTGGAAGAGATGATCATCAGATCCACTGGTAAAGAGGCGCATATCAAACTGACAAGTATACATACAGTACTCTGAGAAACTATACATCTTCTGAGAGATTTATCTTCATTAAAGAGGTGAATTACACATTCGCAGTGTTGTTTTAGTATTACGTATTTTATTTATCATGCAAGTTATCTTCAAGAAGTCCTTGGATGGTACCCTGTTAAATAATTATGTAATGTTTCTATTAATATGGCTAAAAGATACAATGTCCTTTCGGAATAACAGACCTATAACATGTTTTATGACATCTTCACGTGGCCAACATTTCAAAGAACAACGTTCTTAGGAAACATTAATCAAACATAAAGGATATATGTACGCCTGCATACATAAAACATATGATAAGTTATGTCCCACTGTATTTGATGACTAAAGCCAGAGGATGAACAACACAGTTCTGCTGCAGCAAGCAATATCACTACAAGAAAAATATAGAATACAGCATGGTGAGAAGTGGTATGTAGAAGTATTCTGGTTTCATGTCAGGTTGGTTAAAGCAATTGTTAGACTCTACCAAATGCTCAATTGTCGTTATAGTCACCTCAACTAATAGCATAAAGTTATCTGAACTTTCGGTTCTATAATCATCATCAGGCAAATAAATTAAAGTGTAAATCTTTAAATGTAAGCGTAATAAGTTACTACAACAAAAACAGTTTACCGCTTGAGGAGAAGTGTTAATGTTAGTTTATATTTAAATACTTATATTTAATTTCTTTGCCTTATGATGATTTCAGAGGATTTGAAAGCTACGATAACTTTGTTCTAATCAATGGAGATGAGAACGACGAACAGTTGAGGATTGGTGAGCGTCTAACCGAAGCTGAAATTAAACTAGATAACTTTAGGATAACACTACTCTTTAAGCTGTAAGCTGTTTTTTGTTTGTTTCATCAGTTTCAGCTTACACTTACTTATTATCAGCACAATTAAAACAGTGTTACTTAACGAGGCTTTATACAAATATGGGTGCAGAAGTGCAAAAATGAGCCATTTCAGATGAACGAAACTTAAAAGGATAATGTGAACATTTGAAACTGAGATTTTATCAGCCTCGGTTTTTACCGAATTCGCCTCCTATGTAAAAGATAAATACAAATGTCACATAACATTTGATTTAATAAACTAACTGATTATATTTTCGAGCCCATGGATACTTGATAATTGTACGTGCTGATGAAATATCATATATTTGGTTCAAATCAAACTTGAATCCTTAAAATTACTAAAAGCTTGAACTTGATTATCATAATGATACAATTTGTGCTACATATAACTGAACAAATCTATCTACGTTTAGAATTATAAAATTAAATCATTTTATAAAATGTTTACCAAGGTTTGTTTTTAGAGCTAGTTTGTAAATGTAGTGTTTAAAAATTTAATTTCTCGAAAATACCACAGACTAAAGCTACAAACACTTAGGTTAATTAATTGGTACCTTTCAAGTCTATAA